CAACAACAACTACAACAAAAGTTGCTATTGTTTTAATTGTTATATGAGTTATTGGGTGAAATGGGATTCATCTCCAAATCATCAACTTATTCATGAGATTATAGATGCTTTTGAAAATATGGTGTTAGAGAAAAAAAAGGGGAAAAACAAGAAACAGAGGAGGAATAAGAATAGAAGTTCTTGTGGGATTGAGAAAAATTCTGAAATTTGTTTAGAGGAAAATTCAACAAGTTATGATGGTGATAGAGAAGAGGAATTAGGGTCTGTTAGAAGATTTGTGAATTTTCTTGGTGGAAGTATTTGGAGTGTTTGGCATGTCTGAAACAGAGGCGAATCCAGGATTTCAAGAAAACGGGTGCACCATTGCTTTAGAATTTCGTTTTTTTTTTTGAAAAAACGAGTGTTATTAGTTACTAAAAAAAATGGAAGGGAGTTGTGGCTGGCTGGGATTGAACTCAGGACCTTGGTGTTAAAATCTGGCTCTCAAACTAGTAAACCATCCAGCAACTTTAAGAACAGGTTCAACAAGTGTTTATTTAATATGTTCTTTAATAATTATACAAGTAATATATCGAGTTTAGTCGGAGGACCACGGGTTCGGGTGACCCAAATTTTACACATAAATTCGCCACTGGTCTGAAATGTTTCAAGGTAATATTGGGAAAATCTAGGTTCTCTTTTTATTTCATTCGGTGTTTGGTATTTGTATTGGAATTTGATGAAATATGACTTTGCGCATGAAAGTCTCGATTTCATACTTGGAACTCGTAGTTAAAACTTTTGGTTAAGGATAAAGGAATAGTTACCACTCAACTGCGACTCTCGTTTGGATAGTTTTGTTCTATTTTATTTTTTTCCATTCGATGTTCGATACTCGTATTAGGATTTGACGAATCTTAATTCATGCTCTTACCCAAAAGAGATTTCATACTCAGAGCTCGTATTCAAAATTAAGGATGAAGGAACCCTTTATGGATGATTTTGTTCATTTTTCACTTCTATAGAAGTTTTTGTTGTTTCTTACTTATTCTTTGTTCCTATGTAAATACCTTTATAACAATATAAAATATGGTCCTTTTGGAATGTTCATGAGCTTTCAATTTTATTGTCTTCATAATTTTTTTTCATTAATGTCTAGTTAGGACTTCCTTTATTTTCCACTTTTGCTTAAGAGTTATCTATGAAGTAATTGAGATGACAAATAAACCAAAAATGAAAAAAGTGAGTTTGCTTCTTTCTTGATTGAGGAAATGTTTTGTAAAGGAGATACATTCTGTTGGACTATTTTTACTGCTAGTTAAAAAAGTATTAAATCTTTAGTTATACTAGTACTATTTTACATTCTTGGAAAATGGAATTTTAGTGAATTTTGTTTACTATTCCTTCCGTTTATTTTTAATTGTTATAGTTTTTCTTTTTTTTAGAGTCAAACTATAAGAATTTTGACTAATATTTTACGATGTATTTTTTCATCATATTGATATGCAAAAAAAAATACAATTTATAGTACTTTTCGTATAGTTTTTGAATATCTAAATTTTTTGTTTAAAATATTAAATTAATGTAATCTAATTTAACTTTAAAAATTAATTAAATTGACTTTTGAAAAGTGTAACGTCATAAATTAAAATGAACAAAATGAGTATATTTGTTTTATTGATAATAGAGAATTTTTTGGACTCAGTCCATAATTAATGGATTTTAATCGTCTACATTTTTTCATTTAAATATACATTTAGAGAGTGATGCATGTTCAAAATTTCATAAATAATGGACACATCCTTTTACCCATTTTAACTTAGAATAAACTCTCTAAGTGAGGTACGATTGAAAAGTTCATAGATAATGAACAATCTTTTTATCTTTCTTCACTTAAATATAAATTTAGAGAGTGATGCATCATTCAGAACTTCATAAATAATAGGTTTATAAGCACGTATTTCTATCCCTGTTTACTTAAATATAAATTTAGAAGAGTGACACGATTCAAAACTTCATAATTAATGGATATGTTTCTCGATCATTTTTCACTTAAATACCAGAGTCAGAGAATTTTGTTTATTTATGGCCAATGAAAGAGGATGGAGATTCTTTGTCATCTTTGAAGAATTAGAATAGGTCAGCCACAATTACTATTTTTTATTTTTTGTGAAATTGAAGAAAGTACTCCATTGACCTTTTTTGGCTTGGGAAAGTCTAAAAATTGTGTTCTACATTTGACACTAAGTCGAATTACACCAGTCGATGTGTGAGAGCGATATTTTTGAAGGATTTTTTTCATTCTTGAAAACTCAATTACGAGTCCTTTAATCAACATGAAGAAACTTCAACCATTCCATCATAATACTAGTGACTTTGTAAAACAATTATCATTCAAAAATTCATCATCAAAAGATAGAATAGTAGATGTCAATTTATTCTAATTATCTTTTATTTTATTTTTCTATGTTATTTATATGATAAGTAATAAACAAATTAAATTATGTATATTAAACTTTGGTTATAATTGAGACAGGTCATGATCCCCTCTCTCCCTACCAACAAACTTGCTCCTGCATCAACAGTATCTTAATTAATAATTAAAATAATTGTTCATTAATATAATGATCAATTATTGTTACTTAATTAAAGCCTCTCTTTTTTTGTTTGGTGAAGGATGTTGGTCTCAACTCCTTTAACCTTCACAATCAAATTATTAGATGTTGTTATCATAACCAAATCTCTAATTTAATGATATTATAATCCTTTATTATATGTCCCCCTTTTTATGGGTTAAGGAAGTTGATCTCAACTCCTATTCCATCCCTCGTCAAACTATTAGATGTTGGGATAAAAATAATCAGAACGCGAAATACTTTATGTATTAGATTAATTTTTTTATTATTGTTTTTATAGTATGAAAATAATAACTCAATATTTAGTTTAATGGTAATATATATAGTTCCTTGTCATATGGACATTGATCTCAACTCCTATTCCTTTCTTCATCAAATTATTTGAGGTTCGAATAAAAATAATCAAAATACGATATGTTTTATGTGTTAGACTGTCTTTTAATTTTATGATATTTAATAATTCCTTGTCATATGTCATCATCATTTTTAAGAAATTATTATTTTGGTAACTACATTGATCTCAACTCCTATTCCATCCCTCATCAAACTATTAAATGTTAGGGCAAAAATAATTAGAACGCGAAATATTTTATGCATCAATCTAATTTTTTTTGTAGTATAGAATAATCGTGACTCAATATTTAATTTAATGGTAATATAGTTACTTGTCATATGGACATTGATCTCAACTCTTATTCCTTCTTCATCAAATTATTTGATGTTCCAACAAAAATAATCAAAATGCGGAACGCTTTATAATGTATCAAACGTGGTTTTTAATAGAATAAAAATAATCATAACCCAATATTTAATTTTTAATGATATTTTTTAATAGAATAAAAATAATTATAAACCAATATTTAATTTTTTATGATATTTAATAATTCCTTGCCATATGCCATTTAAAAAAAAATAAAAAAATTTGGTAACTACATTGATCTCAACTCCTATTCCCTCGATCATTAAATTATTTGATGTTGAATATAAATAATCAAAACCCAATCTTTAAATATTTATTTGTATTATAATACCTTGCCATGTGCCATTTTTAAATACTTTTTTTTGTCCCACAATCATCAAATTATTAGATATTGGATAAATATCTTCTTTTTAAAAATAAAAAATAAAAACATCTTCAATTTGATGATATTATAATTCTTTACAACAATGTCAGGATTACAATAAATTTATCTTAGGTTCCCTTATCATTATTCTCTACACGCTTCGTACTATAATCTTTTTTTCTCATGAAAATATCAAAATTTCTAAGTAACATATATTTATTATTGAAAATTTTCATTAAAAGGATTTAAAATACAAAAATTAATTAAACGCCTGAATAAGTCAAGAATTAATATGATCTTTATCGCTAATGTAAATATCGTAATTAAAGTGGAACAAGATAGTCATGGATTTTTTATCTTTGAATTGGTCATTAGTCAAGTATTATATATGACTACAAATAATCAAATATTACACATAACTATCATAAAGGCTTACTTAATTCCTCTTCCCAATTTGTGCGCCACATTTCATTTTTCGAGAGTCAAATCGTTTAAATTTTATTGTAAATTTGCGCATAAATTTCCTAAAAAAAAATTGAAATTTAAAAGATGTATGAAAAATTTACAGTAAAAAATATACTTGTTTGAATCTTGAAAGCTAAATTGTGTCAGATAAATTGAGACAGAAGGAGTATAATTTTCTTTCTTTGACTTCTTAGTGAATTATGACTTAGTCAAAATTAAATCTACTAGTTGAATGAGTCTTTAATTTCTACGTCTGAAACAAGTCAAGATAAAAGTTGAAATCAGTGTGTTTTGTCATTATGGAAAAGAAGTGGAATATTGGAGAAAATTTTGATGGAAATTTTGCGTCCTAAAAATTAACAATAATATTTATATTATTATATATTAGTTCGAGCAAATAATATGAAGTCAAAATTTAATACTAAGGGTAAGGAAAATGACTTCTCCCTGTAAATGAGCGAAGTTATTTGAAATATGACATTATTAATCTTGAGTACAAGAAGTAATGTTTTGATGAGATATACCCATAGTGTGACAGGCGGTATGTATAAGGCTTATAAATGAATTAACTAGTATATAGTTGATTAAAGATTATCAACTATTCTAGCTTTATGCCGATGAGTTAAAGCCTGCAAGTTCGAACTAAGATCGCGGCCCTTTGTCCAGGTCATTCCCGTCAAACTATGGGAAAACACATAAATGGTGTCACTTGTAAAGTAATTACATACAGAAAATCTATATGAGACACATTAATGTTAGAATTTCTTAGACACAATGTTACATCAAATAAACTACAACACAATTGATGAATATACACTATACAAGTAGCTAGTTAATTAATTTACCAATGTACCTATTGAACAATTAGAATGATATATTAAATGACTAAGAATTATTATTGATTGATAAAAGATTCAAACATTTACAGGTATAGATGAAGAACTCATGGATACACAGCCTTTCAAACGTTCAATAATGGCGTTCCGGCTAACTAGCCCTGAATGAAGGGTCATTGGAAGCCCTTCCTTGACACATTCATCGTACTTTTCGAGTGCAGATACAATGTATGTGAAATCTGGCCTCTTCGAAGGGTTAGCTGCCCAGCAACGCTTTATAAGTTGTGCAAGCGCCAGTTGACAACTTGCTGGCATAGGTGGTCGTTCGTTCTGCAAAATAACAAACGTTAATCAATCAATCAACGAACCAGCTTAAACGCGAAAAAAACTTTTGAGAACTGTGTAACGTGATGCCAAAAGTAAAAGAAATTAAGGCCATGACCTCCATTTGTCTGAAAGGTTCTAGCAGAGGTGGATTCAAGATTCAAACTTACGAACATATCAATCAACTAGAAGTTAATCTCAAACCGGTTGAGACCAACTTAAAATGCAAAAAACTTTTGAGAAATGAGGATGAGTTACATTTAGCTTAAAGGTGGCCCATCACAAGGAATACGGTTCAAGCAGAGGTAGATTCAAGATTCAAAATAATGAACATTAAATCAATCAACCAACCAACCAACCAACCAACTACATTATCTCAAGCATGTTAAGGCCACGTTAAAATACGAAAATTGGTAATGTGGCACAATTAGGCCTTTTTCAGGTCTAACTAAGAATCAGGTAAAAGTAAAAGTAAAAGAAACTATGGTCATGACTTTCATTTGGCTGAAAGGTGGCCCGTCACTACGGATATGATTCTAGCAGAGGCAGATTCAAGATTTAAGCATGATGAGTTCGATCTTCATATTCTTACTACTTAGCCCGCTATAACTTTAGAATTATGGTATCAAAATGTCATATATATCTAAGCTCCGTGTCAAAAATGTTGGGTTCGGTTGAACCCCTAACTTATTATCTATGTCCGCCACCGGGTTCTAGGTAGGGAAAAGAACTTCTGATATAATGTTGAAGTCAATTCTACTTCTCATACATTTGGTTGAGACTTCTCTCACTGTTTTTTGTGCTTCTAGGAAAATAAACTATCCAACGTTACTACCTTATTCGAAAGAATTTTGAATGCGAACTCATTAAGTTCAAATTCTGAATCCACCTCCGCAAGAAGTAATAATTAACAAAGGCTATTTGCACCCTTGGATACTTGGCCTAGCTCAGGAAACAGGGCAATTTGCCAAATTTCAATTAATCTAAAAACACAAAATCAACTATGAAAAATAATAATTGAGTTTTGAATTAGGCAAACCTTTTCAGCAACAGCAAAAGCAGCCTGAACTGGTGTCATTCCTTGAAACGGTAACAAAGCTGTTGTGAGTTCCCACAGCACAATCCCGAAACTGTAAACATCAACTTTCCGCGTATAAGGTTTCTCCTTGATCATCTCTGGTGCCATCCATCGATACGTTCCCATATTACCTTTAGCCTCTCTGCATTGTGTTTCAAGACATGACGTGCCAAAATCCGCGACCTTAACACGCATCTCATCATTTAAGAGTAAATTACTCGATTTCAAGTCTCTATGGATCACCCCTTGTGAATGAAGATACTCCATTCCTCGCGATATATCGAGGGCTAACCTCAGAATTGTTTCTGTTGAGAGTGAGTATGGCTCTTTCTTGTTGAGGTACATCCTTAGAGTTCCTTGTGACATGTACTCTGTGATGATACAGTACACAGGAGGTTTCTTACACGCGGCGATGAACTGTAAGATAAACAAGAGATGTTTTAGTAAGAAAAATTGGACTCATTGGCAAGCATTTATAAGTAGCTATGTTGATCGGATCCTCTAAAAATGCATAGCTTTTGGATGATCCGACACAAGACACACACTGACTGGCAATATTTTTGAAGAGTCCGTGCAACATAGATCAGTAGGGTAGGTATTAATTTGTTGAAGCTGCATCAACTTTATTAAATTTCATATTGAATAAAATTACTTGGTGATAATGTTCTCTGTGAACTTTCTACAAACAGGTCTTGAGCTACTTCTATGAAGCTGAACAGGAAAAATATGAAAAAGGAAAATCATGCTCCTTTATACTTGGAAGCCAAAAAAAAAAGCTAAATGTGAATGCACCAAATGCTATAAAGAAACTTTAACTGTAACAAAAAAATCATAATACAAAAGCACACACAAATTTGGCCCCAGCAGACAAGTTAACACTTCAACTTTGAGTATGCACGTCTAGACACTTCAACCTGTCTCCACTGTGTCAGTTAAATACTCCAACTTACAAAATGATCCTCTAGACACCTCAGCATCGGGTGTCCACTAGACATAGTGGGGATGAGTTGGAGTGTTTAGTTACTAATTGGGACCGAGTTGAGATGTCTAGATCCACACTCTCAAAGTTGAAGTGTTTATTTACCAACTTGATCAAATTTGAATGTCTATAAATGAATAATGCAAAAAATAAATGTTTCAATTCAACTATGATGCTTTCTTAAATAATCATCTGAAAACCTTGTGAATTTATAGGTTCTGATTGTGCTTTCAACCAAAAAACTACAAGTAAATGTTATACTCCCTTTGTTCCAGTTTGTTTCAGCATTTCCTTTTTAGTACATTCCTAAAAAGATACACATTTCTATATTTGGAAATAGTTTAACTTTAACCTTCCCATTTTACCTTAAATAAGAAGCTTTTATAGTCACATGAATGTTATGCAAATGTTTAAGACCACAAGTTTCAAAAGTCTTACAACTACACAAATCATGTTTAAGATAATAAATTTCAAAAGTATTACGGCCACACAAATGTTATGACATGTTTGAGACCACAAGTTTCAAAAATCTTATATCTACACAAATGATATGACATGTTTAAGATGACGAGTCTCAAAATACTTACAACCACACAAATGTTATGACATATATAGGACCTGCAAACTTCAAAAGTCTTACATCAACACAAATGTTACTACACATTTTCTATCTTAAACTCTATATCGACTCAAACTACGTCACGTAAATTGAAACAAAATGATGTATAAGTAGAGGAAATTTGACCTGAACTATATTGGGATGATAGAGTCTAGAAAGCAAAGCAACTTCAGACTTGAACTGTTGTTCAAGCTTAGCTCTAGTCTCCTCCTTATGAGTTGGAATCCTCACCATTTTCACAGCAACTGCTCTCTGCTTATAAATCCCTCTATAAATTCTGCTATGAGCACCAGAAGCAAATTTATTACCAATAAAAAGCTGAGATAAATCAGCTGTCCATTCTTCTTTTTGATCCTCTTTTGAAGTTTCCCAAGTCTCAAAATTATCAGATTCCAATATCATTGACCATGATTCCAAACTATCAAATCTCTTCTTCTCCATTGTTTCTATATTAGCTGAATTCCACTGTTTTCTTGATGAGGAGGAAGGAACAGATAACGGTTTGCTCCTCGATCTTCGCAGCTTAAATGGATTGAAACAAGAAGTAGCCATTGAAAAGTTGAAATAGAAACCAATTCTTGGTTAAAGATCAAATCTTTTTCAGCCTAAAAAGATGTTGGAAAGTTTTAACAAGAAGTGGACATTGAAATAGAAACCATTTTTTTGGTTAAAGGTCAAATCTTTTTCACTTGTTTCAGCTTAAAAGGAAGTTGAAAAGTGTTAACAAGAAATAGCCATAAAAATGGAAACCAAATGTTGGTAAAGATCAAATCTTTTTCAAGATGTTGGAAAGTGTTGACATAAACCAAATATTGGGTAAAGATTAAATCTTTTTTACACTTTTAGCCAAAAAAAAGATGTTGGAAATTTCCACAATAGAGATACTTTCAAAGGGTGTTTTGTGTTTTTGGATTTCAAGAAATGCATGAACTAATTCAAGAAACATGGATTTCCAAAGGTATAAGTTAAAAAGAAGTGAACTTTATTCATGAATCTATCAAAAAAGAAAGAAATATGAGTTAATCTCAAAAGAAGAAAAAACCCCATCAAAACTTTCTACAAGTTACAAGAAACAACTAAAGAAAAAAAAATTTGGTTAAAAAAATCAAATCTTTTTCACTTGAAAAGTGTCGAGATAGAAACTTTCTCAAAGGGTGTTTTTCTTCTAGATGTTTGCATTGATTTCAAGAAATGCATGAAGAGATTCAAGAAACATGGATTCCAAAGGGAAAAAAAGTTTAAAAGAAATGAACTTTATCAAATGAAAGATGAACAAGATGGTTAATCTCCAAAGAAGAAAAAAGAAGAAGGCTCATGAAAATGCAATAAAAAAAAAAGCAGAGAGTTTTTTCAGGGGTGTCTCGTGAATGTATTTGAAAGAGGAAATTAAAAAACTTTTTGTATGTAAAATCTAACACTTTTTCTTGTTTTCCTTTGCATCTATTCATCAATGTATAAAAGTTGGCAAGTGGCCACATTGTCAAAAAGCTTTATAAATTATCACTTCTTTTTTTGGAAAATTTTGTGAATTTTCAATTCAACAACAATAACATACTCAATGTAATCCACAGGTGAAGTCTGAGAAGAATAATATACTCAATATAAACTCACAAGTGAAATCTAAAGATGATAATATGTATGCATACCTTAGATCCTTACCCCTACCTTTTGTGGAGTAGAGAGGTTGTGTAAATCGCACAAGTGGTGTTTGGAATTTCAATTCTTAGATTAATAAGATTGTTGAAGATTATACCACTGAGATAGTGGTGGGATGAATATGATTCTTCCCCCTTATCCAGAAATTTGGAGTTGGAATCTTAGGTACATGAAAAATTGTAGTAGGTACGTAGTGCTTCCCTTTAATAACTCTTACATGGCTAGAATATGAAATAATCGTGATCCAAATGTGAATAGCTAATCCAAAATTATATATCAATGTTACAACATTTTGAAGCAAGATTTGTTTATTTTTGTTAAGATTAAAACTATTTGATCAAAATATACATTTGAATATACATATACTATTATATTTTTAAATACTTATTTTGAATTATTCATCCTTTGTGTTAGCATTCCATCTCTTTCTTTAATTTCCTTCATGTCTACATTACATCTCATTATTATTATTTTGTAGTATAATACACTACATAATAATTGGTGACAAATGCATGGAAAAATTTTCAAGAACTATTTGTATATGATATTAGCAATTTATTAATGTCATTTCAACACTTTCTATATTCTCAAGGATAAGTGAAGCCTTAATAGGCAATCCTTTAATAAAAAGTTCATTATTCTTGTTAATATTATATTGTTTGATTGGCAAAAAACTGAATCAAGATATAGCTAGGAGATCCTAAATTAGCTGAAGGAATCAAAGTATAGCCTCATGTGTCTTCTATTTGCTTGTGAGACAAGTCTACTATTCCAAAATAATTCCTATAAGCTTGGAATTGTTTCAAGTAGGATACCTTCCTATTCAACATAGGATAAGACCATATTCTCACGAACGGTAATTTGACTGATGATGAAGAAAGAGAATTTTCAATAGATTTAGCCATATCTATATCCGAAGCTACTATATCAATGGTTCTACCATCACGCTGTAAAACGGGAGCTCTTGAGGAACCTCTAGTGAATAACACTCAAATCAAAGTACTTTAAGTCATATATAATTGTATTGTATAAGTCAACTACATGGTACAAATGTCAATTAAAAATAAACAATTAGTACTACATAAATCTCATAAATATTTCATTTAGTAAGATGGACAAATCTCATAAATATTTCAGCTTGGGTTACTTTAAATTTCAGTCTTTTAAGAACAACCAAAAGATGGTCCACCAGGAAGATGATGGATCTGGAGTGACTTCAGGCCCAACATTTGAAAAACATAAAACTGTTCTGGGCTTGGGAGGAAGCCCAAATAAACCTCAGTTGGTCATGTAATTAATTAGAAGATTTTCGCCGATTTATCTCCTTTTGGAATAACTGTTTAAGAAATGATCTTCTTTTTATTTCTCTTATAACTCATGAACATGTTAGACTATGGTAAAAATATCTTTGTTGAACAATTCTAAACTTAAGAGAAAATGTTAGACCAACAATGTATTCACTATTCAGTGTGATTTACCACAAGCGAGGTCTGAGGAAGATGGTGTGTATGTAAATCTTATTCCTAACTTGTGAAGATAATGAGATTGTTTATGAAAAACATTAGGCTCATGTAAATCATTTCAAAGTTGGTTTGAAGAAGAAAAATACACTAGTGAAAAAGTTATATAAAAAATAATGAAAAACGTTAGGCCACGCTCTAAAATTGTATAGTCTTAAACGACAATCTAATAATTCTTCTGTTCCAAAGGCTATATTGGCACAAGTTTTAGAAATAAGTAAAATATCTATGTGATAACCTAAAAAGAGACATTTACGTATTTCAAACATACCTAATTTATGTGGGTTTTTTTTCAGATGCAGCAAACTATTTACAAAATTTAATTGGCAATACCAAATTTATTTTCTCCTAATAGGAAATGGATGAAAGAGCCCCACTAGTTTGAATTTTGAAATCACAATATTTCTCCTTGTACTTAATTTTGTTGACAAAACACCTCAAATGATTTGAAAATTAGACATCTATCAATTTTCATCGTTCGTAGATGCTCGTGTTAATAAATAATAAATAGAAGTTTATACTCGTTTGGTGTGAGAGATAAGCATAAATAGTCCTGAAATAAAAAAATAGTCCTGGGATAAAATTTAGATATCTTGTTTGGTTGACATGTTTGGGATAACTTATCCCACCATTTATAGCATAGTGATGGGATAAGTTATCCCATATATATACATGGTGGGATAAGTTATCCCAGGATAACTAACCCCATGATAGTTAATCCTGGGATAACTAGTTCCCAACCAAACGATCCCAAATGAATCATTATCAACTGATTAATAAAGTAAGGGGTCGTTTGGTAGGGAGTATATTATGAGAAATAGTTCATGTATTATGTATGGTATTATTTAGTACCATGTTTGGTAAGAATTCAGGCCCATGTATAACTAATCTGTGGAGTAGTTATACACCCTGCATGGTACATGTTATTAGAAGATATATTAATACCTTTTTTTGGAGGTATTAGTAATACATAGGAATTAATACCATGAGATAAAAATATCCCTCAAATCATTTTATTTTTTTCTTGATTTTATGTTCTATATTTGTACTTGTAAATTTATTTAAATAAATTATCTTACAAATTATTAAGAGAGAGTTGTTTGTTACTAAATAATTCCAATAGAAATCAATATAATATTTGAAATGCGATTTACTAATTAAAGAGGCAAATGTGTGTGTGTGGTTTTCTAATTATTTGTATTTTGAACAATTTATAAAATTGTATACATATTAAAACTATAACTTGCAATTTTTAAGTGTAAATGTAGATGGTTTACTCAATTTTACTATTGTTTACCGTCTTTTCGGTTTAAAAGTAGATGATTTACCTTTTTAAAATTGAAAATTGACATTCTGTGAGTGATCAATTTATTAAGATGACAATTATTTATCCTCAAATAATTCAAGTGAAAAAATAACAAACATGTCAACAAAATTGTTCTTCTCCTATAGCTAGTTAAAATGTCAAAAAAACTAAAATTGTCCGATAATTATCTACCTTGACTCAATTACATAATAATAATAAAGAGTATAATTGAAAAGAAGTTTTTTTTTATAGAATTTTAATCCAAACACAAGATGAGGTAGAACAATAAACCAAACACTTCATAAAAATAAACTTTGCATTACTAATTCCTGCATTGCTAATCCTTGCGTTACTAATTCTTGAGTTACTAATCACTGTATTATTAATCTTTGTACCAAACGACCTCTAAGAGGTTAAATATTTCGTTAAGAGTTTCTAGCTAGAAAGTCATTTTGTCATGCCTAATTACCAACATGGACGGATCTAGCTAGGAAGCGTAATGTCACGTCCCGCCACGCCACTTCACAATTCAAATTCAACACCATAATAAGGGAGAAGAATCTAGAGTTGTAGGGAGGTTAGTGGAAGACTTAGAACTCCTTAGAGAATTTCTAAGAAGGCTTTAGAAATTCCTAGGTCTTTCCTTGGAAGACTCTAGAATACCTTAGATATTTTCTTGGAAAGCTTTGGAAAATCCTAGAATATGTAGAGAATTCTAGAAAAAGACCAAAGTGTAATTATTAGAGGGACGCGTAAAGTAAATTTTATTTACACTTTAGCCCCTAGGTTGTAGTATAAATAGACGGGGCATTCATTTGTAAGGCGTCCAACAACTTGTAAGCAATCTTCCAAGCTTAATACAAAGCCTTCTTCCAAACGCTTTCTTGTTCTTTCTAAGTCTTTCTTTGCATTCTCTTAGCGATCTTAGTCTTAAAGGCTTACTTGAGCTTACGAGATCTTGAAAGAATAGTGAGTAACTTATCAAGTGTTGCATGGAGCTTTAGCAAAAATTCTAAGTCCGTGACAACGTAGTACTAGAGTGAGGTTTGCACTAAGGGAATGGCCAACGAAGGAGACGTGAACGCTACTAGTACTACCAACGTCCGTCCGGATGGCGGAAAGAAAAATCACAAGGGAAAGAAGCACCAAAAGAGTAATGAGGAAATGCTTCTCGACCCCACACCAAGCGAGGTGCTTACATCTCACCCACATTCAACCACCGAAGCAAGTGACGATGAACTTGGCGAGGAGGCCATTGACGTCACCGTCAGAGAGGAGTGGATCGCGAGGATTGAAACGGTGAGACAGGCCGTGGAGATATTAGATAGGCGTTTGAATGTGGCAGATGGCAAGTTCAAGACCCTCGAGGACTTCATCCTTAAGGAGACTGACAACATCCGCAAGAAGTTGGAGGGACGCCAGCGTGCCGAGTTCGAGATGAAGGAGGCTATCACTTTCTTGGAGTTTCGGCTCATGGAGGCGTTG